GGGATGTCACTGGGACAGGCTGTGTACGGGGAGGCTCCGTCCCTGGAAAGAGGAGCAGGCTGAGCCCGAGAGCCTGGCTCCCTGGGCCTGCTCCAAGCCTCTCAGCAATGCCTGGCTGGACACAGAGGTGCACGGTTACACGGCTAATTACCTCCGTCGCATATGGAAATGAGGAGAGGGAAGTGGATGGAATGGAGGGGATTGCAAGCTTCATGTTATTTGGGGTATCTTTAAGGGGCCGTCCCAACAAGCTGGGCTCTGAGCGGGGTCTCCAGCTCCTCACGGGGCTATGGAGCAGCAATCTGATAGACGTCCTCTGCTGCCCATCCTTCCACTCTCCTTTTGTGTTTTAAGATTAAGGTTCTCAGCTTCCTGGGTGTCAGGAAGATCTTGACACCCACAAAGGCTCAGAAACGAGGTGACGAAGAACCCAGATGGCGTTTGGCGTAGCTGCGTTGGTTTTTATCATCAGGGTGACTTCGAGCCCACCGGTGAGACCAAGAAGGGCCAGATCCAAGGCGAACGCTGTGGTAGCTGTGCCCACAGCAACCTGGGTGCCACCTCCCCATGCCAGAGAAGTCCCCGGCGGTGAGGCCACCCGCAGCCCGCAGGAAATAATTGCAGAGCAGCCGGGCTTCCTGCCTCGCACGGCTCCTCCTGACACATCCCAGTGACGCTGCCAGCGTTACTCACGGGGCATGGCCTTCCCCAACACACTCGCACGCCCCTCGGCTGGACAGCGGGGCCGGGATTAGCAGGAAGGGAAGGAGCAGACATGGCTCTGGCCATGTGTGAGCAGCCCGTCAGGAAAGGCTTGTTTAGCACACGGATTACTCTGCCTCAGAAGCGAGCTGCTGCCGTGATGAATACGCCCCTCATGAGTCAGGAGCCCAGCCCTTCGTGACAGGGTCGCGTGCTTTCAGAAGTGGCTGCAGAAGGAGCAGGCGTTCAGGAGGAGCTGTTTCAGGCTGGCACGGCCACGCTTCCCGTTCACCTTCCTGCCCACAGCCCCGTGTCACCCTGGAGGGCCGTGAAGGTCCCCGTGGCCCCACAGGCTGGTGCCCACAGGGCAATGGGCCTGGCACGTGGGCCCTGCAGGCTGCTTGGGCTGGGGGAGTTTGGCCAAGTGCTGAGTTAAGAGGTTGCCCTTAGCTGCTTCACCAGCTCATGGGGACATTGCAGGAGCCATCCCCTCAGAGAGGGAGGTATTAGGAGAAACTTCTTTACTGAAGGGGCTGTGAGGCACTGGAACAGGCTGCCCAGGGAAGTGGTTGAGTCACCATCCCTGGAGGTATCCAAGAAACGTGTAGGCGTAAAACTTAGTAGCAGAGTTTATCGGTGAACTTGTCAGTACTAGGTTAAAGGTTGGACCTGATGGTCTTAGAGGGCTTTTCCAACCTGAATGTTTCCATGATTCTTTGTGGTATACCCACCTCCACGTGTTGCTCACCTCCCAAGCACCACGGGCTGTCACCAGGCCCTCTTTCTCTTGCTGTACAGGGAGCAGGGACATCTGTGACTTGGGGCTTCTTGTCGTTAACATTTGCTGGCTTTTATGTGCCAGGCTGAGGTGAGATCTGATTCATCTGAACCACTTAGACCATGGGTTTCTCTATAAGGCCATGCCCCAAAGGACATGAAGCCTAAAAAGGGACAGCAGGCAACCCAAACCATCACTTGCCTAAAGAGACAGATCTGACTGCTGAGGTCCCTTTCCTAAATATGGCATCCACAGACAGCAACCTATATGGGGGCACTCCTGAGAATGATCACATATGGCTGAGACGATGCTGAAACTAAATTTATGATACTCAGCTGCAGTAATTTGCAAATAGTGCTAAGTGCTGGGGAGGACCAAAGGTTTATAGTATTGTTTTTGTTATATTATTTGTTTGTTTGCTGATAAAAGCAACAACAGAAGTGTGAAAAAGCACCCTGATGGCACACAATTCTTGCACAGATGATGCAGAAACAGGAAAAAAAAAAAGGCTACAGATTGCCTTCGGAGATGTGTGTCTACTTCTGGTTTTAAAACTACAGCTCAGTTAAAATAAATAAATATATAAATAAAAGTCCTGGCTGCAAAAAGGTTTTTATGTTTTTAACCATTGGTTGAAAATACAAGTAAAGATATCAACCCAGTGTGGCAGTGCTGGAGCATTCGGTGCCCTGGGGGCGAGCAATTCCGTGCACAGGTGTTTCAGGAAATGTTTGTAAAACAGCAGAGCTGCTCCCGTGCTGCTTGGCTTCACAGCAGGCGCTGCTGACACCGCGTGTCTGCCCACTGCAGAATTCCCCGGGAGGTTTTAGGGCACGGGAAGACAAGAAAAAGCAGGCACCGTGTGTCAGGGGCAGTCCTGCTCGATGTGCTTCAGCTGGTGGGAATGGGATGGGAAAGGGGGCAGAGGGGGAGAGAAGCAGCTCAGTGAACATGCTTGGTGTGTGTGTGTCCTGCGGGCACAAATACCTTCATGTCCTGCTCGGGGTCAGGGGCTGTGCTGATGCTCTCCAGGCCTGAGAACAAGCTGGACTGTGAGAAGTCCTTGCCCCACACATCAGTGGGGTGGCAGTGAAGCCCTCGTGGCTCGGCTTCTCGTGGCTCCCTGCAGCTCTGGCGCAAGTGGTGGCACAACTGGCCAGGATATCAAGCCAGAGGTGCTGCTGCGAGGGATGTGCAGAAGATCAGGAGAGCCCCACCAGCAGGTAAGGGCACACATAGACACTTACCAAGCTCAGCTGTCCTTCTCCTGCCATGCCCAGAGGTCGTCAGCCGAGCAGCACGGCCACATGATGGACTACATCTTGTGTGCCAGCTTGGAGAGGGGCTCACCCATGTGGTGAGAGGTGCCCTTGCCTCCGAGGGTGGTGTTTGCAGGCTGCTGGCAGCACCCCCCTCACTGCTGCCCGGGCGTAAACATAAATACACGCTGGACACCTCTTGGAAGTGCTGGAGAATGTGCTCCTTGGTTTCAGATGTCCCAGCTGCTAAAACCAGCTGCCTCAGCAGCTGAGCTAGCCAAGCAAAGGACCTTGCAGACCTTCTCTGTGTGTGATGTTTGCCTGCCCAAATGCCAACAGAGCCTTCAGCTCACGGGGTGGCTGGCTTGCTGTGACTCTTAGTAAACCAGCAACCCCTCTGGTGTGTTTTGTAAAGTGTCATGCAGGCTCCTTGCTCACAGAAGGGACCACAGCAACCACGTCTGGAGAGCAGCCCCCCAGGACCAGTTGTCCTAAGGGCAGTGGGGCAAATTTATCTTTGGTGGCTCGCCACGTGGCCTGTTGTGTTCACTGCCAGCCATTCTCTGGGGCTCTTTCTTGGTGTATCCTCCTCAATCTCACTTCAGCTTTTCTCTTCGGATCCCTGGTCCACGGCCAAGTGTTGAAATGTTCCTGGCTCTGAAGTGTGCGTGCCGTGACCGATGGGACCTGAAGTGGGCGACTGCTTTATTCTGCTACCTGTTTTCTTTTTTTCCCTCTATAGATTTTTTAGGTGATTCACGGGTCTCTTGGGAGCTGCTAGAACTTTAAATAAATAAATAAATACATAAATGAAAGAAGAAGGAGGTAAATGTGAAAGGGAGGTAGCTTTAAGGTCAAACCTCGACTCTGTGTAAGTCACGCACCTACTGGGCTTCTCTGCTGTAAATGTGCAATTTGGACAGCCTGGGGGCTTTGCTGCCAAAATGTGGAAAGAAGAAAAAAAAGCAAGAGGGAAAAAAAGAAAATAGCAGCCTGGGGTCCCGTGGGGCAGCCGGCCAGGATCAGGCCACCTCTGCGGGGCCCCCTTTCCTCGCAGGGGTGCTGGGTTACCCTGACCCAGCTTCTCTCCTCGGCTCCGTGCCTTTGCAGCGCGGGGAGCTGCTGCTCTCCGTGCCCCGAGGACTCTGTCAGGAAGATTTAGCGCAGCGCTCCTCAGCGTGAGCAGTCTGCTCCAGATCTCGTCTCCTCAGATGTGACTTGGCAAAGGAAACTTCCTCTGTGAAATAAATGATTCAGGCTCGTACCACGCGAGAGAGACCTCCTGAAAGGCTCTTTCATGTGGAGCCAGGGGGACCGGAGAGTGTCAGGGTTTTGAAGGCGAAGTACCCCATTCGGAAAGGTGCACAGCCTCCTTCCAGGAGGGACCCTTCACACAGTGGCAGCCTTTGAATTCAGCTTCTAAATAAAAGATTCAGCCTGAAAACAAAAAAAGCTGAGCCTTTTATGAGTAATAAACCATAAAGTGATTTTTTTTTCCTGGGTGAGACTACCATTCAATATAAAATAAGCTGGCTCTTACGTGTGCATGAGTACGTGTGAAGCATTCGGCTGCTACCAGACATTTGCTGCCCTGAAACCCCACCGGGAGCCCTGCATTCGGCTCTGGGGCCCCCAGCACAAGGACATGGAGCTGCTGGGGTGAGTCCAGAGGAGGGCCATGAGGATGACCAAGGGGCTGGAGCCCCTCTTCTACACAGACAGGCTGAGGGAGCTGGGGGTGTTCGGCCTGGAGAAGAGAAGGCCCCGGGCAGAGCTTACAGCGGCCTGCCAGTGCCTAAAGGGGGCTGCAGGAAAGGTGGGGAGGGACTCTGTGTCAGGGGGTGTAGGGATAGGACAAGGAATAATGGTTTAAAGCTAAAAGAAAGTGAATTTAGGTTAGATATTTGCAATAAATTCTTCACTGTGAGGGTGGTGAGGCCCTGGCACAGGCTGCCCAGAGAAGCTGTGGATGCCCCATCCCTGGAGGTGCTCCAGGCCAGGCTGGATGGGGCTCTGGGCAGCCTGTTCTGGTGGGTCTCCCAGGGACACGCATGGGGCTGTGACACGTCCCCAGCCCCGTGACACGTCCCCAGCCCCCTGATGTCACAAGGCACCTCCCGGGCTCACAGCACTCATAAGAATACCCGTGGCTGTGCCCCACGCCTCACGCCAACCCACAGCTCTCTGGGCAAATTTTTTCCCCCTCCGTCTCCGAGCGCAACCCGCGCTCGGGCACCGATGCGGCTCGCCGCAGCTCAAAGATGTCTCTGTTCAACCACGTTTTGGAGGATGCCGAGTGGGATTTGAGGCAAGCCGAGAGAGAAATGCAGAGGCAGGTGCGGCTGCTGGACCGGCAGCTGCGGCACCTGCGGGAGGAGCTGCCCCCCTGCTGCACCTGCAGCCCCCTGCCGCATCCCCCCTGCCCCTGCCTGCGTCCCCGCGGGACATCCAGCCACCTGGCAGAGCGGGGCAGGGCCCTGCCGGCCACGGTGGACATCGAGCAGGAGCTGGTCAGGTAATAGGGCTGCACAGGGGGCAGTACGGGGCACAGCCCTGTCTGAGAGGTGTAACCAAATGCTGGGAGACCAGAAGGGATGGCAGCACTTCAGCTGCCCCATCCCAACAGGGCATGCTGAAGTGCTCCTGACCACCAAAGCTTGCAGGCGTGGGCCAACAGCAGCCCAAGTGCTGTGGGTCAGCCTGCGTGCCAAGGTGGAGCTGACAATTTCCCATTTGCTTCTCTTGGCCTCGGAGTTACCCACCCATTCCCCCACGAGTCGGTCTGCAAGGCGCTGTTCTTGTTTCCATTGCAGCATACAACGAAGATCTAACAGGCTGCCGTGTGCTTCCCGGGACCGTAACGTTTTAGCTGTGATGGACATGAAGGGTTTTGACCCCGAGGAAGTCAGCGTGAAGGTGAAGGACAGGAAGGTCCAGGTGCTAGCGGAGCACGAGGAGGCACACACCAGCGCGCGGGGGAGGGAGTACAACTACAAAAACGTCAGGAAGGAAATCTCCTTGCCACCAGGGGTGAGGGAAGACGAGGTGACCTACTCAGTAGGATCCAACAGGATCATGAAGATTGAAACTGCCCACAAGCACTGCCCCTGCCTCATGAGATTCTGAGCCACCCGGGGTGACCCGGGCAGAGTCCTTCCTTCTCTCCTTCCTCCTGTGGGCTCCAGCTCCACTCCGTCTGTGGGCACCACCAGCGCTTCTCACCTCTTCCAAAACAAAACAGAGCATTCAAAAAAAAAAAAAGTGTGTGAGCCTCATTTCATTTCAAAAGGGTTTGGTGATTGGAAAGGGGGGTACCAAGGGGAAAACACAAAGATAGGGGTGATTTGGGGAATACTTGGCTGCGGTCACTTGCTAGGTAAAAGGACACTGCAGGAGGTAGCCTGATTGAGTACAGGTACTGCTGCTGCTTATAAATCTCGTGGATTTCAAAAGCTGAATGAAACCATTTATCAATCACACTTCTACAATAAGGAAATTTCTCCCAATCCCATCACTTCCATTTGAGCTGTAAGGATATTTCCTAGGGCTCAATAATAATCACCTCGAAGGGAGGAGACTCCTTCCAAGGTAGCAGCCTGGGTTACCTGTGCCCTTGCTCTTTGGAACCTGGGTTTTTGTTCCCTAAATTTGTCTGGGTTCACGTCCCATCCCTGGGAGAAGCCCCCTCTAGCAGACATCTCCTCCCGAGGACTGGTTTGGCCGTAGGCAGCGAGGTAACTCAACACTGGTGCGAGAAACGTGCTGCTGCTGGCAGGTGTTCAGCGTCCAGGTAGCACTCAAATATCCGATAACAAACTGCAAGCTTTATGGGCTTGGTGTGTATCTGGGTCAGTACGTACCGGCCTACGCACGGGCAGCCTGGTTTTCCTGACGCTGGTGGAGGACACTTGGAAATAATCCACGTCTCAGCAAGGAGGCCTCCTCCTGCTCTCACAGGGACAAGGATGCTCAGGAGCCCTGAGGAGACCTCCTTCAGACAAAGCAACCCACGGAATAATACAACTAAAACCCCTCTGGGACACAGCCTTCTCGCTTGGTAACTATTTCTGCAGAAGCTGTCTCAGCGTGCAGAAGAGAAACAGATTTCAACACCTCCCATCTACCCATGACTTCAGACTTGCAGAGCATGCACAGCCCCGCAGCGATCACAGGGCTGGCTGCGACTGCTCTTATCCTCACTGCTCATCCTTTAACACATCCTCCTCACACTTTGCTCCTAAATTGGGCTTCCAAAGACAAATTAAACCCCTGAACATCATGATTTTATTTACAGATATGGTTTTATTCCCTTTATTCCCGGATTTTAAGACTAAAAGGCACTGTCAGATCGCCTGGCCTCATCTCCTATTATACCACAAACCAGCTGCCCAAAGTGTGAGTTCCGGGGAAGCTTCTAGTCTTGATTTGAAGACTTCAGGAGACAGACTCCAGCGCTTCTCTTTGTATTCTGTTCCAGTGACTAATTTCCTCGTAATTAAATGCCATGCCTTGTTACTAACATGAGATCGCCTGGCACCGTCAGTTCATTCTTTTTGACTCTGCCGGATGAAAAAAAGCCCTCAGAAGCCGGCTTTGTCAGAACACAGTGGTAGCTACGAGCTTCTCGTACATTGCCAGTAAGTCACTTTTCAATCCTGAATTCCAGATTTGCTCATTGTAAGAAGCCGGTTTCCAGCTCCTTGGTATTTGTGTTCCATATTTGCGCCCTTTTTCAGGCTTTCAGTGCCCTTGTGGACACCAGACTGGATGCAGCAGTTCCCTGTCTCACCCACTAACACAGCAGAAATTGCTCCTTCTCCACGAAGCACACCATTCCCCCTGCTTTGGTCTTTCCAAGGGCTCCACGTGTCTCTGACGCGGCACTGCAGGAGGTATTTCTGCTGCTCCCTGACCACCGCCACCCCGCCGGGATGGAGCCGCTGCTCCTGGCTCTCGCGCTGCTGATGCAGGGATGCCCTGTGGGCACCGTGACGTGTCCAGGGGGGATGCACACCAATGATTAATGCAAGATGTAGGACGAAAAACATGTTTTCTTACAGAAATGAACTACAAATAGATGTTTAGCCTACCGATTAGGGCTGTTAGTGCTTAAATTCACAGATGACTTGAAGGCTGGGAGACTGAGAAAAATCCTAACTCGTTTTATGTCCTGTGCAATGTGTCCGGGCGGGTTGAAGCACCTTTAAGACCTGCATAATAGAAACAAATCACTCAGTCACTGAGCTCTGTGAACACCTACATGCTTGGGACTTACCCAAAAGTGTAAGTGAAATCCGTACCCTCCAAATGCTGCTTCGATGAGAGCTTGCTAAACAAAAATACTCCTGGACAGCTACCACTAACGCAGCAAGACACGCTCATGCCAGCATCTCCCTGAAAGAAATTTGCCACTAGGTGGCAGATGATTTTGTTTTATTTTTTAATTTATCCCTGTGCAAATATTTGTTGCAAGCAAAAAACAACAAAGGTGGTGCTGCAAAGCAGGGAGGCTGGTTTGGGCTGCAGTGTGCCTTTTTGTTTGCAAGGCCGATAGGAAACGGCAGGGACGGCAAGGACTGACATTTGTGTTGCTGTGGTGTGCGGGAGCACTCACAAGGGACCGAGACCACATTCGGTTTCTGCGCTGGATTATATTGACCTCTGGTCCTGCAGCTCTTCTCCCCCAGAGCAGCGTGACTGAATACGAGGAGTTTTGTTTGCTTCAGCAGGCTCGATTCAGCAGCCACTGCTGTTGGCCATAACAGGGGCTTCCACGTGCTCGGGTATTCTTCAGCGTAGTGTTGCAGGGAATTATTTTGGGGGCCCGTTTTGGCCATCCTGATAGAGCAAATACCCTCTCAGAATTCCCTGGCATGAGGAAGGTGCCCGAGAGGGCGATTTGGCTCCGCAGCTATAAACACGGCTGCGTTCCTGAACTCTAGCCTTATCGGGGCACTTATAAATAAACAGAGCCCTGGAGTGGGAGGTCAGCTGAGGATGCCAGCTCCAGACCTCCCCTTGGTCCTGTGCTTCCAGGAGTTTTCCTGCAGCCTGGCAGTGCTCTGCAGGCCGGAGCCGTGCAGGAATGTGGTTTCTCTCGGGGGGCAGCCCCGCTCCTCCTCGTACCAAAAGTGGACCAAAAGTGGAGGAACTTCACCCATTTTATCCATGCCTGATGTTAGGTGCAACCCCTGTGCCCACTCATCCCTCAGGCACCTCAATTAACTCCTGGGTAACCTTTCAGAGCACGTTCCCTGTCTTTATCTGTGGAGAACGCACTCCTAATTTAGAGGTCGGAGCAGGAGCTCCTGGCTCCGAGTGCTCTCGTACGCAGGCCGTGGCCTTGTTGTCATCCCACACTCCGCACTTGTCACGCCGTTAATAATCCTGCACTAGATTTAGATGAGGAGTAAACCGATCGCCCAGCACCTGGCGAAGCTGCCTCCCCCCCGGCATGGGCTCTGGCCCCGTTCCCTGTAACTCTTTAACCTCGCGGCCTCCTTCCCCAGCCACTTGTCAGACACCTCTTGCTCCTCGTTCCTCTCCTCCACCTCCCGATAGTGCTGTTATCTGTAGGTGTTGTGGAATCACAAACACGAAACCATCCTCTCTTCTAACAGCAGCTGCAGATAACAGAGGGTCTCGGCTCTGTCTTTAACTCAGGGTGGCACCTGTAGTCTTTTAAGGTCTGCAGGTGAAAAGAGTTTTACCATTAAACTATAAACCTCAGCTCAAACTGCAGGGAAAATCACCATGCCCTGTGCCTCGCCTGGCAGATTTTAATTTGCTGGGAAGTGAAAGCCCACCCCCTGCCAGGAGGGCACACGTGGGTTATCCTCTGGGTGTCCTGATACTCCTCGATACCCTGGGGACTCCTGTTCTGGGAGATGCTGCATCCCCTGGCTGCCCGAGGACCACCTGCAGCAGCGAATTGTTTCAGCTGAAGGTTGTATCTGAGACCCAGCATGGAGTGCTGAACCTATATAGGTCATATTTCATCCAGGGAACTAAAAACATGATCACCGTGTTAAAGGGGTGAAGACTGGAGGGTCCGAGCACATCCAGGAAGGATCAGAGTGCCGGGCAAATCAAAGCAGAAACATGAAGCTGCGTGCTAGGAGGAGAGCTTGTTTTGGAGCAGTGTAAACAGAAAAAGTGTCTGCAGAGGGAACCCAATACAGACTGCTCAAATAAACTGCCCCCGAACAAGGAAGAGGCACAGGCTTTGGGATATCCGTGCAAACAAAGCCAAACAGCCTGCACTTCTCCTGTAATCCTCGCACCAGAGCACTGTGAGCCAGCTGAGATGCTGCTGCCTGCCAGCCTCAGCCTCTCCCGAGTTTCTCAGGAGGAGCACATCCTGGGGAAGTCCTGCTCGGTGACTCACAGGGAGGAGCTGCCATCCACCCCCAGCTCAAATCCTACCCCGGGTCGCTTTCTGCTAGGGATTTTTTTTTCTTTCTCATCTGAAATAAACAAAATGACCACTTAAAAGTTGAATCAGTTCTTCATTCCTGGACCACTTCAATGCATCTTGTAGCTGCATACAACAGCCTCTGGGTTCTCTAAAGCTCGACTTCTCATCCTTGTGCTCTCTCCTTCCAGGAATATGGGGTCAGCCCTGGTGCACCCATGTTTTGGGCAGGCGAGGAGCCTGGGCTGCAGGGCTGGTGCCAGCTGGAGACCTGACCTCCTGCATGCTGGCTGGGAAGGGGGCACCCAGCAGCACCTTTTCCCCACCTGCTTTGTCACCTGCACAGGAACCTGGACTTTGTGCCTGAATTCATGTGGCTCACAGACCTGAGTTTATCTTTCCTGTCCCATTACCAGCTTTCTTCCACCAACTTCTGCTCCCAATCTCCAAGGCAGAAGCTGTTTGCTTCCAAACCGTGGGCAGACCCACGAGATCCGAGCGCTGCAGCAGCTCATCACTTAGGGTCACTGCCCTGGACTGGAGCACCATGCATCTCAGCCGGGGAGGTGGGCTTGTCTCTAACGACCTCACATTTTTGGACCATTCCTTTGATTTTTGCAGGAGGAAGAGTAACGAAATGTCTTGGAAGAGACACATTATTTGTGCTATTTTTCTCCTGGGTACACAGGTTTAACTGTTTTCCAGGCATTAT